CCCGCCGCCGCACACCCCGAGGAACGGCTTGTTTTCCTGCCCGGATGATGGATTTCTCCGCAAGGTCATCCCTGCCCGCGGCGGCGGTGTGCCCGCGGCTCCCCCGGCGCCGCCGCGGAGGTAAGGGGCGGGGGGAGCGGAGCGGGCACGGCGAGCACCTACACGGCACACACGGCACACAGCGCGTTCGGCGCCGGAGAGAGGCGGGGTGGGTGCGTGGCCAGGTGCCGGGGCCAGCCGGGGCTGCCKCGCCCTCGCCCTGGTCCGAGCCGCGCCCGGGGAGCGCATCCCGGGCGGCCGAACCGTGCCCCGCTCCGCGGCAGGAGGGGCTGCGGCCGCCCCGCCGAGCGGGCACCAGCGGCTGGGGGCGGCCGGGCTGGGCCGGCCCCGAGGGCTCTTCTCTCATCCTCTGCTCGTTTTTAGCCGCGCTTCTAAGCGACTTTGGCTCCCGCGTGGTCTGGGAGCGCTGAAAACTTAAGGGAAAAAAAGRAAAAAAAAAGGAGGGAATAATGATGAGATGCCCCCCCACCGCCRGGACGGGCCGGGGGGATGCGCGGCGTGGTCGCCACGGTAACGTGCCCGCTGCCGCGATGTCGCAGCGCGGAAGATGCCCCGGAGGCGGTGGCCGTCGCCGCGGGGGCAACCCCAGCCGCCGCCTCCCGGAGCGGGGATCGCGGCCAAGGGGCGAACCCCGGGCCGAAACCGGGCGGACACAGCGGTGAGGGTGAGCTGGGGTACCCCCCGGCGGTTGTCTGCGGAGCCCGGGGCTCCCCAGACCGTGGTGTGGCAGCTTTGAGGCGAGCGCGGGAGGGTGGTCAGCTCGGGTTGGGATGTCACGGTCAAGCAGCGTCGCGCAGTGAGGGTTTGGCCAGGTGATGTCCCTTGCCTGGCTCAGGGCATTGGGGCTGGGCACGAAGCCTTCACGGCCTTTTCCTTCTCTTGCTGTAGTTGGTGACAAAACTACTGATGATGTCAGCTCCTGGTCAGTGGCTTGTGTTGTCCACATTTTRTGCCCCATAAAGGGGCCTTGGCTTCATTAATGCTTTATTCTTTCATCCCTCTTTTTTCTGGCAAGGGTAACAATGATGGTGGGTGGATTTATTAGAATCATAAGGAATTATTATGATCCCATAGTCTAACCTCTTCCATAATATAAAGCAGAGACTAGTCCCCAATGATTCCAAGGTCTGGCCCACCAGCCTCTTCAAAGTCTTGTTTTAATGACTTCCAACGATGGGAATTGACTACATTCCTGGATAATTGCCTCCAATTTTTAATCGCTTTGTTAAACGCTTGCATCTCTTTTTTTCCACTTTGAACTTTTCTGACTTCATCTTCTGGCTACTGGATCTTGTAATGTTTTGTCTGTCAGATTAAATAGCTATCTAGTTTCAGATCATCTCTCCCTGCTCGAGTATTTAAGGGCAGTAATTAAATAGCCACTTAACATTGTCTCTGATGGGATAAATAGACCTGACTCTCTCRGTCTCTCCCTGGAATGCAGATGCTCCCCAAGAGAAATGTCTGGGCTGCTCTTCTCTGAGCCTCCACCACCGTCCTCTCTGGCCACCGGTGCAGCACAGTGGATTCCAGGAAGGCGCTTGTTAGAGTCACGTGTGGAGATAATAACCTTGTGCTCAGTATTCCCCTGTCTATTCACCCAACGGTACAAACTTTTCTTTCCCACGACTAYACGGTGGGAACTTGTGTTCCCTTAGTTACAGGCAGTGATCCCTTCATTTCTTTGYAAGCTGGGGTTTTCTCAGAAGCTGGTTGTTTGTGCTGGATTAAATACTTTTACATACATAACGTTGGGCTGGCCTATATTAGAGTTTTTTTCCCTCCTCATATCACCTCACTTCCGTGGAGTCTGCAGCCCAGGAATCACAACAGACTTCTGATGTCCTCTAGAAGTCAGAAGGGTTTCTTTTCCCAGGACCTCCATCCTAAAAGGTCTGTCTTCTCTCCCAGCCAACTTCAAATAAGTTTAAGGTCATCTGGAGTAAATGGTACCTAGAAGTTATACTGAGTAATGTACAAACCGCAAACTGAAAGTGCCCATTACCATGAATTGCTTTTGTAACTGCTTTTGTTCAGCTGTRCCTCCAAGTATYGGTGAGAGAGAAAGGAAATTGCTTTTCTGTCTTAAAGAGCTGTAAATCCCACTGCTGGCTATGATGTCTAGGCTGACACACACAGTGTCATTATTTTGAGAGTCTTTAACTTGAATGTTGTGAGTTTTACTTGCTCTAAAGCATGCTTAAGCCTGGATTTATAGCTCTCTAGAAAGCACAATGTCTGAGAGTATGGGCCAGAGGTAGGTGGTATTGACAGAATATTCTGTTTTTCCAGCAGCATGTAGCATCTTGAATCTCAACAAAAGGATGAAGTTGAGTAGTCTGAAGGCACCTTCTGTGGGAGATGGTACAAAGTAAAGTTCTTTGAAATTAACTTTTTTTTGTTTGGGTTGGGTTGTTTATTTTTTTGTTTGGGGCTTSCAGTGGCTAAAACCACCTTGATTTGCCCTGTCTATGAGCTTAATACACAGTGAGGGAGGGTGATGTAAGAGGTCTTAAAATTGAAGGCCTTTACATGCAGACCACCCCATGGAGTAAGTGATGTGATGATACCTGTGAGTAAGGTTTGTTTGCACCAGTAAAGATAGCAGGTTTCAACCTTCAGAATGACGTAGTTGTCTTCAAAGTGTTAAAATTAAGGAAAGTACATTCTGATTGTGTAACGACTTAAATGTCAGGACAAAGAGTGTTCTTGAAATTTCATGAGGATTTTTTTATTACAAGTCTCAGAAAATGTCTATTCATAAGATTTCATGAAATACAGACAGGGATGCACTAAGTATAAACAGTGATGGACCCTTAAAAGGTCTGGAAAATCATCACAGAGCTCAAATACCACATCTGATTGAATAGAGTAAAAGTGAGCTTGAGAATTCTGGTGAATTTTCTACAGACTGGTGTGAGCATCCTAGGAATTGTTTCTCAGTTGTTTGCCCAATTWTATGTCTCCCCAATACAAAATTTTGAAATGTTACCCCCTGAGAGGTATCCTTCCRTCTCATTCAAACTCAGCTTTCATCTCCCAAATGAAGCTAATATGTCTGAGGTTTTTTTAACATATACTTTCCCTTTTCATGGTTGCACCTTTTCTTCAACTCCTTTTGCAATGAGAATAATATGGTATATTTCCTTAGGGTGGCTGGTCCCAAAAGTTACCCATTTCTGAATTACAAAGCCCATCCAGAGTCAGCCCAGCRTTAGGAATAGTGGCTGTTAATTCTACAGGGCCAGGGCTGACAGAAGATCTTATTTTTGAGTCACAAACTTGCTGAGGATTGCCCAGCAAGTGCTAGGTTAGACAGATTTCATKAGGAAAACAGTTTGGCAGTGGTAAAATTTGTCAGATTTGGGTCCTGCTACTGTTACTGACACCATTATTTTTAAGAACACAAASTCCCTCTGTCAGACTCAGCCAAAGCTGAGGGGAACAACATCCTGCCTCCAGTTTGTGAAATCCTCTCTGCTGTAGGAGTACAAGCAATCTGCTCATAGTCTCACAGCTTCAGATAGAACAAAATTTTGTAATTTAGGATTGTGCTTCTCGCAGCACATTACTTCTTAATTTGTAACTCCCACTCTAAAGGCAGAGTTAGGATAGAGGCTGAATCTGCTTCCTTGGTGGATTTAAGAGCARTTCTGTTTTAAGAGCTGATGTTACTTAATGGTATCCAATGATTTCATAGCTTTCATACCTCCTGCACAGTGAACTGGTTCTRTTAGTGCAAAATTCTTCAAAATCAGTTGTGTTGTTACTGACAGTATTCTCATATTCTTATGGCAGATTGGAAATGCAACAAAAGTCACCTAGAATTGTTTCTGTATTAACCTTGGATRTAAATTGGGTGCTCTAATTGTAAGCCTCAATTCTATGTGACAATATGACTAAACCAAACCCATATTTGATCTTACACATTGGATTGCTTAGGTAAACACCACCTTCTTGAGAGTCAGAACAAAGAAAATCTGGATATTTTTACTGGGCAAAAMCAAGTTCTGGGCATGTTCTCAAGGAAATTAAGTTACTGTCCAATAGAAAAAGTTTTTGAAAGTATATCTAAAGACAGTTTACTTTTGCAAATAGTAAAAATAGAAAAGATCTAAGTATGTCTCTTTTATTATATATATGGACTTTGAACTCACTAACAGTTCTATAGAAACAAGACTGGTACCGATTAAAAACTTAATCACACATGATCAGTTACTTATTAACATTGAGTTATTTGTCTCTTGGGAGTCTGTGGCTAAGAGCCCACACTTGTAAATTGGCAGCAGACCCTAGAGGATTGAAGTGTCAGCGTGCTGTTGAGTAAATAGGGAAGAAAATGCAGTGCCAACCCTTGAAACTCCATGCAGGATGTGGGGGAAAAAGGCAAAGGTGGCCACCAAAGAAGGAATRTCTGGGAACCAGCATAATACCATTTTGCACCTATGTGTCTTCTGCCAGCAGTGGACGTGTGAACTTGATGAAAAAAATGAAGTGGAGGGAAGAATGCCAACACGGACAAATATTACAATACACTGTGGTAACAGACTGCTACAGGTGTGCCCACAGAGAACAGATTCAATTCTTTTCCCACATTTCCCCCCATCTGTAACTCCAGGATGCTGTGTAACAAAGCTTGGTGGCAGGTGTGGAAGCTATTACTGCAGCCAGTATCAACCAGACATCCAGGAAGATCAGTATCTATTAAATTATCCAGGAAAAAGTGTTTGTATCTATTAGACCTGAGTGTAATTGCTAGCAATACACATTGCTTCTACTGTTCACTTTATTGTACTTACTATGCATTAGTAAAACATRGTAGTAAAGTTGAGTTTGCTTTTTCCTTGCCTGTTTTCCTCCCTCTGGCAGCAGTTCTTTTAGCAGAACAAGGAGTTAGTCAAGGTGGACACAGACATGCCAGTGCTTTGTTAAACTATTTGTATCTGTGCTATCAGATGGCTACATACTATTGGTGTCTGTGTCTAACACAGAGGGAYTAGCTCTGAGGTGAGATAAAAGCTTGTATTGCTTGGCAAGTGGCAACAATTCATTTTCCAGTC